AGAAGGAAGAAGCAACCTATGACTCTGGGAGATACGTCGCCTGAAGAAATAAAATAAATCAGACGCCTGTTTAATAGCAATTCCCAATTTTTTTTGCTCGCTATCCTGCCACTCCTGTGATCGTATCGTATCCAATTGATTAATATAGTGGATTAGTGGCACTGGCACACGCTAATATCCATCCGTCACCATTACCATCACCGGCCGCTACTACACGAATCGAATGCTACATGTCCGCTGCGCGCTTCTTGAGGTCCCTGTCCCTGTCCCTGGCGGCGGCGGCGGCGGCGGCTCTGCTGGCCGCCCTGCCGCCGGAGCGTCGCGGGCCCATCCGCCGCCGGAGCGCGAAGCGGAGGTGTCCGGTGTCCTTGAACCGGCGGCGCTCCGACTCGACGACGTCGCACTCGGGGAACGCGGCGGGGTAGCGCAGCGTGTCGTAGCAGTAGGAGTAGACCATGTTGCGCTCCCGGAACCGGCGCATGGCCTGCTGCTTCTCCACGGTCATGACGGCCACGTCCGACGCCCTGAGCTTCTCCTCGGCGGCAGCGCACCGCCCCGCCTCCGGCACCTGCTGGATGGGCCCGTCGACGCGGCAGCCGAGGAGGGCGAGGTCGGTGAAGGACGCGACGAAGGGCCCGTACCGGTAGTTGACGCGGTACCGGCCCCCCGCGGTGGCCCAGGTGGAGGCGTCCCAGACGGTGGCGTAGACCGACATGGGTTTGGAGGGGAAGTCCCCGCCCATGGCGTCCGACCGCCGGACCTCGCGCACCGGAACGTCGTCCACGTAGAACGCCACGGCGGCGGGCGTCCACAGGATGGAGTAGCGGTGGAACTCCGTGGTCGGGTCGAACGGGAGCACGTACCGCTCCTCGCGGCCCCGCCCCACGCTGCCGTTGCCGTACACGTTCGTCTGTACTCGCCATGGCTTCCCCCGGATGTTGCCTAGGAACTCAAAGTCCAGCTCGTCGTGCCGCTTCTCGAACACGTCGCCGTTCGACGCCTGTGGGGAGCATATGCAGGAGAAGGCAGTAAGCATATGTGTGTATATGCAAATTAATATATGGACATGCCGGCACGGCGCTGCAGAGACGACTCACGTAGAAGGCGACGACGACGCCGGCGGTATAGTCGGAGGGGAGCTTGATGGACGCGCTGAAGAAGCCGTGCTGGTACATGGACGAGGAGATGAAACCTGACCCTGCAGCAAATCCAATCCACCCCAATTCATTCATCAATCGGATTGCTCGCTCATTGTATAGATGTTTCCGAATATAATCGATGGACCAGCAATCCAACAATCAGGCTGCTCGTTGACGAATACGATGGACAAGGCGTGCATGCATGAAATGGAAACAAACAAGAATAAGCATGCAGAGTATGTAATAATGACCGGTGGAGCGGTCGAGGAGGAGGCTGACGGTGCGGTGGTCGGCGGAGCGGAGGATGTTGCCGTGCCCGAACAGCGGCGCGTACCCGTCCTCGAACGCCATCGTCGTCACGTTGATCGCCGGGAGCGCGGACACGGCCGCGGCGGCCGCGAAGAGGACGACGACGAGCAGCACCACCGCCGGCGTCAGGCGGCCCATGTACGTACGTATGCTCTGCTCGCCGGCCGGCCGGCCGCGCACGCACGCTTGGGCTGAATTCGATCGCCGCGGCGTCAGGCGACAGTGCTGACGGCTGGAATTGTTATTCGGCCGGAGCCGGGGGCCGGGGACCGGGATGGTGAATCGCTGATTATTATTGCGCGTTGCCTTATTTTGAGGTGGTGATGCAAATGAGGAGAGCTCCAGCTTAGGAAAATGGCCGCCGCGTCGCGTGCGCTATATATGGGATGGGGTGGATCAGACGATCAGTGGGTGGGTGGGGGAAAGGAAGATCGACGCCTCCATTACCGCGCAAAGAAAAGGAAGATGGAAACAATCCCCGCGCAGGCAGGCCAGGACAGGGCGACAGGCTGGCGTGGCGTTATCCGTAAAACAGCTGCCGTGCGCGTGGCGTCATCTTACTACTGTACTGCACGAATGACCGTGAAGGATAAAAGAGGTCTTCGTTCACTCCCAAATATACGACGGCCCTATTAGTTTCGCTGAAATTTGGTTTACGTTGATTTGTTATCTAGAGAAAACGTTGTTCGTTTCGCTGAAAAGTACTGCTTTGAAGTAGTGCTCAAGAATATGACGAATTTATATTGATTCTTTATCAATTATTATACTCCCTCAGATTTAAATTATAAGATGTGGTGGGCTTTAATGTATGTTTAAATTCATGTCAAAAGTTGTATATTTAGAAAAATAAAAATATCTTATAATCTAGTGTGGAATGAGCATATTTGTATTTTTCCAAATACTTTTTGAAAGGGGAGTTCACCATCTAGTTGTTGGGTGAAAAAAAGAACAGCTAGACAAAACTACGTCGTGCGTATTGATAGGATACTTTTTGATGGAGTGGTGATATAGACCAGCAAATTCGTTAAATCTCTCCATCCAAAAAAACTTATAACTCGTTTGGATGTAGATATTCACCCTAAGAATTCGGAATTGGCATGAGTAGCCCCGGAATACGGTTGTTTCGATGGTTAAGAATTAGGAATTGGAATTTGACCCCAACACCAAACCGTATTCACTATATCTGCACTGCCTAGTCCTTAGTACCGAGACCTTTCCCTTCATATTGCTCTGCATTCATTCGTCTTGACCCCCACGACGCACCGCCGCCGACAAAGACGCCCCCAATGCCCTGTCTTTGTTGAATCGTCTCGAACGCTCCATCCCCCGATGACCCTCCCCGACGTGTCGCCACGCGGAGCCACTCGGCACGCCTCCACCTCGTATGTGCCGGCCCCGACACACCTCCACCTTTCACCCCCATGGCCAAGGACCTTTCTCCTCTTACTCTGGCAAGTGGCTGACACCCTCCTCTTTCCCATGGCCAGCAACCCACGAGCCCTTCTCCTTTTCCCTGTGACCGAAGGTTGGCGAGCCCTTCTCTTTTTTCCCCATGCTCGGTAGTCCTCTTTTTTCTCACGATTATATAACCCAATTCCAATTCCAGTGAATATCCAAACAACATAATTTGAATCGTGACAGTTTCAATTCCAAGGCTGAATTAGATCCAATTCAATTCCATATCACTAAATATCTACATCGAAAAAGACCCTTGATGTTTCAGTTTTGTCCTAAGTTAAAATATCTTAAATTTAACCATATTTGTAGAGAAATTTGCTGACATTTATAGCACCAAATTTGTAGAAATGGATTGGATGTTTTTAGATAGTAGAACTATAGTATTACAATATCTATACCTAATAATAAAGAGGTAAAATTTTCGGTCATTTTTTTTTGTCCATCCATTTTTTTATCTGTCTCTTTCTAACCGCCGGATAATGAATAATTTCTTCCGTCCGGACTTATATATATAATCCGTGCTCAAACGAGTTAGAATAGCTCTTGTCTAGCACGATACGAAGTCTGGATCGTGTATGTGGCCCGGTGTACGGCAGTTTTTTTTTTTTTCACGATCAGTTTCATGTTCCAAAGTCGTTCGTTTTCAGTTTTCCTTTTTTTTCCAGGGTTCGGTTTCCGTTTTTCTATCTTACTTTTTCCTTTTCTTTCCATGTTATGTTTCCTTTATTTCCCCTTATCCGTTTCTTCTTCTTCTTTTACCTTTTCTTTTGTCACGTTTGGAGTCTGAACATTGACTTCCGAGTCACTTTTCCGTTTGGATTTTTCTCTGATTTTCGAATACCTTTCTGTTCTATTTTTTTTATATTTTCCTAAATATCAAAAAATAATAATATAATATTATGGATCTTTTAAACTCTGAATCCTATTTTAAGAAAAGAGAGATTTCCACTTCCAAGATATTAATACAGTTTTCATTAGTAAAATAATTATCTTATTATAACCGGTTGAATTTTTTGTTTAACTAATCAAACTTTGAATTGAAATCTTGACCATTTTATTTTCTGATCTCTTCTAAATAAATTTGTCTATAAATTGTATATATACACATACCAGTACAATCTTCGATGAAGGTTACATGTGGAAAATTTAGAGAGGTTTCCCGTCATAATCTTTGGGGGATAGACCAGTCCTTGACTATAGGTCCACAAAGAAAGTCATATTACTCGATATTTATAACTATACCAATGCATAAATAGTATGAAAAAATTTATGTGTGTTCGGGAATGCCCTTGCGGCAACTGCCTGCCTCTCCTTCGCCTATGAGATTGCCCTCGCAAACACACAATGCCGCAAACCTCCCACCACCAGACCTTTCACGCAAACAGTAAGGGCCAGAGCATCTTCGTAAATTCGCCAATACTCATTGCCTTTGCTCGCTATTAGCTCCACACGCCAGCGAGGGCGACCGGGCCCGAGCTCCGCTTAATGTCTATTTACTTTTGAATTTATTGCGTCCTCTCGGGCACCATACCTTCGCCTGTTTCTTGCTCGCTTCCTGTGAAACACCCTTGACCTCTGCCCTCGCAGGCCTCCATCGAGGGTCTGGAGGCAGAGTGTAGTCCCCACAATGTTCTTTGTAATGAGATAAAACAAATCTACCAAAATTGTATTTTAAAATGGATAATAACTTAATATGATATTATTGTATTGATAACATTAGCTTATACTATGGATGTCATGATCACCATATAACATAAATTATAGATTTAAAATTTTATAGAAAAGGTAAACTATATATATAGATATATATCGATATTTTTTATGAATATTTGATAGCTGTTTTTCCCGTTGCAATGCACTGGTATATTGGATCAGAGGTCATGAAAAAGTAGATTGTATTATTAACCAAAATCTTTGTTTCAGAGGTCATGCTAGTCGTGACACAATCGAGATTTTGATATGCATAGTAACCCAGAGCGAGAGATGCATTCATGTGATTATTCCAAGCGACCGGATTAAAACCCTTGCACCGGATCGTATTAAACCCTAGCCACCGGCGCCTCCGCGAATCCTTTCCTTTCCCCGATTCCACACATGCCGCTCTGCTGCTCCCCCACCTCCGCTGCCGCCGCCGCGGCGGCATCTCCCGGCGCCGCCCGCAACGGGGGCCTCCTGCGCCGCTCGCGCCCAGTCCCCGGCGTCGTGGTGAGCTCCTGACCCCACCTCCCCCCTCCTCCGGTTCTTATTTGCTCTGTTCCGGCAATAATCACTCGCCACCTGGCTATCCGGACTCGCCGGTGATTTTACGGCGACAGTCGGCGTTCGGAGCTCGGGAATCGCACCTTCTTGCATATGTTTTCGGCTCTGTTTACATTAGAGAGTACCCATCTCGCATCTGCGAGTAAATGGAAGTTATTGATAGTAATCAAATCGAGCCTGCACAATGTTTTTTTTCTTTGAACTTCTGCCTGCTTATATAAGCTAAAAATGATCTCCATGCGTGCAGAGATGTAAAAAGATTGATTCTCTGAGGGCAATCAATGGAGCACTGCCTTGCATTCCGGTGTCCGACAGGTCGCTATTGACTCCTGTAACCTTGCCGGTTTTCCGGGATCCAAACATGAGGAACGACAACACGAGGCTGCGCATCTTCTCAGGCACAGCCAATCCTTCCCTTTCCCAGGTCAGTTGAGTCTAGCATGGAGAAATTTTCTATCCCATCATTATTATATAGCCCTGCGTTGAATTTGTTCCAATTAAACTGTACTAACCAGCTACCACCTTACAGCACTCAGTACATTAACTTCATTTGAGTTTGGAATAGTGATTGGTATAAAAGGTGGATTGAAATGAGGATAATTTGGACCAATTAAACTGTACTAACCAGCTACAACCGTAGAGTACTCAGTACATTAACTTCTTTTGAATTTGGAATAGCGATTGGCATAAAAGGTGGATTGAAATTAAGGATAATTTGAACCTCAATGGATTTTTACCAGGAAATGTACTAGCTTCTGAATGAGGAAGAATAATAACAGGAAATGTGTTATCTCTTCCATGCCTAATTTCTTTCTGGTATCCTATATTTCTATGAACAGGAAATAGCAAGTTACTTGGGGCTAGAACTTGGGAAAATTAACATAAAGAGGTTTGCTGATGGTGAAATATATGTTCAGTTGCAAGAAAGTGTACGGGGCTGTGATGTTTTCCTTGTGCAACCGTCGTGCCCTCCAGCAAATGAAAATCTTATGGAACTTCTGATCATGATTGATGCCTGTAGGAGAGCATCTGCTAAGAATATTACTGCAGTTATCCCTTATTTTGGTTATGCAAGGGCTGACAGGAAGGTAATGTTGCTTTCTTGTAGCTTCTCAAATTGTTTTAATGGTTTCAAGGTTCTTTTTTTTAATGGAAAAAAGACTCCTTGTCACATGCTTGCACCGCTTCACATTTACCAGTCTTTAGCCATGGAAGATGCATAGGGAAAATTTCAACAGTTTTGTTATTTTAAAAGTGCTTGGAACCAGCAAAATTCCGATCACCAGCATCGATTGAGCTGGTTGGATTTCATCCAAGGGCCTAGGATGGCTACTGGAGAATAAGAAGATTTTCAAGCACTTGGCAACTTTGGAATGTGATATTTAGACCGTTTGCTTGTGTATGTTTTTCAATGTCCATAAACAAGAGGAATTGAAGTCAATGCTCGATGACATTACAGATTCTGTTATTCCTTTTGATTCTAACATCCTAGCATCTCTGAAATCAAAAGACATTGCTGGATGTGACAAAAAGTATGTCTCCTCACCATTTTTTAGTACTAAATAGAAGCTTCTTTTCCTTTTTTCAGTCTCAGGGCCGGGAATCTATAGCTGCAAAGCTTGTAGCTAATATGATTACCGAAGCTGGTGCTAACCGTGTCCTTGTTTGTGATCTTCATTCCAGTCAAGCAATGGGATACTTCGACATCCCAGTAGATCATGTTTATGGCCAGGTATATGTACTGAAGCATGCTACTTAAATCTACCAATTCCTTTAAGACATAGTGTTTATGATGGTATTCATTCTTCTTACAATTATTTTCTATTTTTGCTGTTTGATCTGTGAAGCCTGTTATTCTTGATTATCTCGCCAGCAAGACAATATGTTCAAATGACTTGGTAGTTGTATCTCCTGATGTTGGAGGTGTTGCCAGGGCACGTGCTTTTGCCAAAAAGCTGTCAGATGCACCTCTAGCTATTGTAGATAAAAGAAGGCAAGGACATAATGTCGCTGAGGCAAGTATTATTGTACTTTGTTATTTGCTTAAACAGTGTGGCAGGCCGAATGGATGTATATAGAAGAAATTTTCGTAACTCAAATATTAGTTTCTCCTTAATAACTGTACTATTATGAACATCTGATTTGGATGTACAGAAGAAAATGTTCACATAGTACTCTGAAGGGATAAGTCCATGTTTAGCCCCTTTTTGAAACAATCCATGTTTAGCCCCTCAACTTTTGTGTTTGTCTAATTTTAACCCTCAACTCTAATAATGTCTAAGCACAGTATCTCAACTATCAAACCCGCTTCGTTTTGACCCTCAAGCCTTTTTGGTTGGTATTTGGATGGTTTGGTGGCAAGTTGCTGGGTTTTTTTTGCTGGCCAGGAATCTAGGACATTATGTGGCAGGGTCCCATATTCCTTACTTCCTCTTCTCCCCTCTCATCTTGTGTGTTTCCAGATCTTGATTGGTAGCAGCACTGTGGCAGGAAGGGGACACAGTGCCCGCGATCGTAGGAACGTCCAAAGCAGAAAGGGCGCACGGTGCCCTGTGCCCATGCCCATCTGTTCTCCCCTCACATTTTGATCCAAGCAGAAAGTCAGCGGCTAGCCTGACACCTGGCTATCCTCCACCACCTCGCTTGTCCTCTTCTTGCCTTGGCACCTCCTTCGTTTCCATGTGTCTTCTGGGAGTGTTGTTTCTCAACATAAGCTTTTGGTGGCAGACTTTCGTTTTCAAGTGCGTGCCCGTAGGGATAAACAAGATAAGATTGAAAGAACAAAGTGGTGGAAACTGAAAGGGGAGACGTCAGAGGTATTCAGGAAAATGGTTATCAAAGAGGGCTCTTGGAAGGAAGAAGAGGACATAAACAACATGTGGGAGAAGATGACAACCAACATTCGGAAGGTAGCCTCAGAGGTGTGTGGAGTAACCAAAGGAAGTGGAGCCGAGGCTAAAGATACTTGGTGGTGGAACGAGGAAGTCCAAAGGGCTATTAAGGAGAAGAAAGAATGCTATAGACGCTTGTACCATGATAGGAGTGTGGACAACATAGAGAAGTACAAGGTGACAAAGAAGACTGCAAAGCGAGCTGTAAGTGTGGCAAATGGTAGAGCGTACAAGGATCTTTACCAACATTTGGGTACGAAGGAAGGAGAGAAGGACATTTATAGGATGGCTAGGGTTCGTGAGAGAAAGACAAGGGACTTCAACCAAGTTAAGTGCATTAAGGATGAAAGGGAGCATCTCTTGGTGAAGGAGGATGAGATCCGACATCGATGGCAAGAGTATTTTGACAAATTGTTCAATGGTGAGAATACAGACACAACCTTTCAGTTGGATGACTCTTTTGATGACACCAATAGGCGCTTTGTGCGGAGAATCTAAGAATCTGAGGTCAGAGAGGCGTTGAAAAGGATGAAAGGAGGTAAGACGATGGGACCGGATGGTATTCCAATCGAGGTGTAGAGATGCCTTGGGGACATAGCTATAGTATGGCTAACCAAGCTGTTCAACCATATTTTTCGATCGAACAAGATGCTTGACGAGTGGAGAAGTATATTGGTACCGATCTACAAGAATAAAGGGGATATTCAAAGTTGTACTAATTACCGGGGAATTAAGTTGATGAGCCATACTATGAAGCTATGGTTGAGAGTTATCGAGCATCGCTTGAGAGCAATAACGCGGGTCTCTATGAACCAATTTGGTTTCATGCCCGGAAGGTCAACCATGGAAGCCATTTTCTTAATAAGACAAGTCATGGAGCGGTATAGGGAGAAGAAGGATCTACACATGGTTTTTATTGACTTGGAAAAGGCTTATGATAAAATACCAAGAAATGTTATGTGGTGGGCTTTGGACAAACATAAAGTCCCAACGAAGTACGTCGGGCTCATTAAGGACATGTACAACAATGTTGTGACTAGTGTTCGAACAAGTGATGGAGACACGGATGACTTCTCGATTAGGATAGGACTACATCAAGGGTCAGCTTTGAGCCCTTATCTGTTTGCCTTAGTGATGGATGAGGTCACAAGGGACATACAAGGGGACATTCCTTGGTGTATGCTTTTCGCGGACGATGTAGTGCTAGTTGATGAAAGTCGGACAGGAGTGAATCAGAAACTAGAGTTATGGTGGGAGACTTTGGAGTCCAAAGGTTTTGGACTCAGTAGAACGAAAACTGAGTATATAAGATGTGACTTCGGCATTACTACTCGGGAGGAGGAAGATATTAGTTTGGAAGGTCAAGTAGTGCCTAGGAAGGATACCTTTCGATATTTAGGATCAATGCTACAGAGAGACGTGGATCAAAGCAGGGTGGATGAAGTGGCGCCAAGCATCTGGTGTCCTATGTGACAGAAGGGTACCACAGAAGCTAAAAGGCAAGTTTTATAGGACGGCGATTAGACCTGCTATGTTGTATGGTGCAGAATGTTGGCCTACGAAAAGACGACATGTTCAACAGATAAGTGTCGCGGGAATGCGTATGTTGTGTTGGATTTGCAGTCATACAAGAAGGGATCGAGTTCGGAACGATGATATACGTGATAGATTAGGGGTAGCACCAATTGAAGAAAAGCTTGTCAAACACTGGTTGAGATGGTTTGGACATGTCCAACGGAGACCTCTAGAGGCACCGGTGCGTAGTGGAATCCTAAGCCAGGATAGTAACGTGAAGAGAGGCAGAGGAAGACCGAAGTTGACTTGGGTAGAGGCAATAAAATGGGACTTGAAAGGATGGAATATACCCAAAGACTTAGTCTTAGATAGGAGTGCTTGGAAAACAGCTATTCATGTGCCTGAACCTTGATTGCTTCTGCTGGGTTTGTTTGGGACTTAAAGACTTTGTTGTTGTTGTTGTTCTTCTTCTTCTTCTTCTTCTGTTCCAGCATGAGAAGGGAATGGTTTGTTGATTCCTGCTTTGCATGAAAAAAAATGCCACCTGACTTATCGATTTGTGCTTGCGTTTCATTGGGAATTGAGAAGCAGGAGGCTGCTCGCTGCCCCTTTGGATAGGGCGAGCAACCAGAGGGCTGAGACAGTACACTAGGACACTAGGTGGAGCGCCTGCTCTGGACTCTGGAGATTGGAGCATCAATGCAGACCTGCACCACCGCCACAGCCACCACCTGGCCCTTCCGCACTCACCAGTCAGTCAGTCGCTACTGGCCCCCAGATGCAGAAGCTTTGTGGGCCATCATCCTAACCGTTGTTCTAACACTGTGGTCATGTCGTTCTGCACACATGAGCTTTGTGGAGGTGAGAGGGCTTTGGGTCAGCAATGAGACAGATGCTGCCTTGTAGATGGGGTGACAGATCGGCCTTTGCCCTTCGGTGAGTCAGTTATCACGAGTGGCGCTGCCACCGCGTGCTATCCTGGCCAGAAAGGGAAAGGAGAGGTAGAAGAAGGGTGAAGAATGACAATGACACGTGGGACATCAAAACCGCTGACATGACATAAAGGCCCTGTTTCCTCGAACTGTTTATCTCCAGAAACAGGAGAATCCTTACCGAACAGAAATCGTTTCTGGGGAGAAACTAGGGACTCCCTACCAAATGATTCAGGGATTCGAAGACAACTAAAAATGTTTCTTGGATTCTACCAGAAACTAGAAAAACCTGTTTCAGAATTAGTGTCTCTGGAAACCTTTCTTCCAGAAACCGCACCCCTGCAAATGGGGCCAGAAAACCACTTTGAAGGGGCTCAGTGTAAATTGAGGCAGTTTTAGTAATTAAGTTGCTCTGTCTAGACAGTATTGGAGATGAGGGTCACCATTAGGCAAACAAAAAATAGTTTTTTAGATATCAAACAGAAGAGTTTTTTAGGGATATCAAACAGAAGAGTTGAGGGGCAAAAAAAGGACTTGTTCCTACTCTGAATATATTACTTTCTATTCAATCTGCATCAATTGTATAATGCATTTGAAGATGTGCCTATCTCACCACAAGGTGCATGCCTGTTTTATTGCCATGCTCATCTCAGTTCTTTAGAATGAGCATGTACATCTTGTCATGTGCATTTATTACAGGTAATGAATCTTATTGGAGATGTGAGAGGAAAAGTGGCTGTTATGATGGATGATATGATCGACACAGCAGGTATGTTGTCCCCTAGAAAACAATTCTTAGGTTGGACATTTTTTTCCCTCATAATGGGCAGTTAGGCCATGGATGATGTGAGTTTCAGACTGGTTCGAAATACAAGTTAAGCTATAATTTAAACTTTGAATCCCGATGAATTGTGCCACACTCCTGCATCACTACTCAAGAAAATTGTATATGACATTGCATACTAAACTAGTTACCTGAGATAAAACGTTGCTTTGTGATATCATTATTCTCATGGAACTATCAAACACAAATAGGTACTATTGCCAAAGGAGCTGAGCTATTGCATCAGGAAGGAGCTCGAGAAGTATATGCTTGCTGTACACATGCTGTTTTTAGGTATGCTTTAATTCTTGAACTAACCTAAGTCAATTCTGTTTTCTTTCCACTAGCCATACATTGTAGCAAAACTGGATTTTTCTGCTAGTATAACTATACGTTGCCTTTTCAGCCCACCTGCCATCGAAAGATTATCAAGTGGATTGTTTCAAGAAGTAATCATCACAAACACAATCCCTCTAAAGGAGGAGAAGACTTTTCCGCAGCTGACCATTCTTTCAGTTGCTAACCTCTTAGGCGAAACAATCTGGCGTGTTCACGATGATTGCTCGGTAAGTTCTGACTCCTAACTCAACAAAAAATACTACTCTGTATACCAGACCTGTGGTTGCAATTGGATCCTCACTATCATCGTGCAAACTTCATGATAGTATTCCTCAACAACTTCATTTTCCTTTTCTTGTGCAAATTTTTTAATATAAATCCCAAAAATCTGTCCAGGTTGGTCATGAGCCATACTCCAGCTTGGATATTGACTGATGCTTAAGGCGTATTACCCATGCTGTGCTCTTCATGCCCTAGGTGAGAACGGCTTTTAGTGGTGATGTCTAGTCTTCACATGACATACCACGACAAACAGCTATTTCTCTACAAGCTGTAGAATAGGCATAGTTGATTCCATTGTGGGCAAGATTTCACCAGCTGTACATTTTCCATCTGTGACATGTTCACCATTGCTGAAGCGGCTTTTCTTATGCAGGAATAGTTGTGGCAGCTTGCAACATTTTTTTCCTTTTCTTTGGCCTCAGTTTTTGTCTGTGCGTGTAATAAGCAGTGTTTTGTGGAATTCTGTTAGCACAGAACCTCAACCTTGTATTTGAATGACAGTACATAAGATGATATTCTAGATTGTAGTGCAGTGTTTCAGCTATCCTCAATCCGCATATATATAACTCCAATGCTCCAACCAACTTCCTCCATGCCATCCCAGTTTTTGGTTTCTGGGTTTTGCTTTATATACGCGTTTGCTTTGCTGTATTAGACTTTATGATAATGGGTTTTATCTCACCAGCGTCTCCTGAAGTCCTGATGCGACTACTTGCAGCAACAGTAATCAAATAAACGTCTGTGTAGCATCCGTGTTTTATCGACATTTTTTTATTTGGCATCCAAAATGGCCATGAACATACATCAGGGCTTAATGATGATAGCAGTTCAAATGCGATTGATGAACTGTTCCCTCGGCAAACTGAGGCAATGATAAGAGTATTATTATCTGTTCAGAAAGCTTCAACCAGACATACTGGCTCATCTTCCAATACAGTACATTTCTTTCAGCATCCAAAAAAAAAAAAAACATAATTGCGTTGACTAGTGAAGGAAAGCTTGCTGAATGTACTAGTGAAGTACTCAATTATCTTGCCTTTATCTGGACCGCTAGGACTTATGAATGAAACATCAAATACGCAATGGTGTTTAAACACCAAACTTTCTGAATCAATATAATGATAATCTTAAAACCTGAATTGTTAAAGGACAAGAAAACTGGTTAGATGTTTGAAATCGGATTACCCAATGGATCCACGTCTTCTGTACGCATTGGACAATGCCTGATTGCGTCTATTCTATTGCAGTGCTTGACTCTAGTAGTAAAGAATGGTCATTCTTACCATAATCAACAGTAGATTATAGCGAGATTGACAAACTGGTCCATTTAGATAAACAGTCGCAAAAGATTGAATGGCCAAGAACCTTGAAAAATTTGGGCACAAGGTATAATTTTACAGCAAAATTGTGTAATACTAGAATACATCAAAGTCAAAGGAGAACTCCATGCTACACATAAACTGATATCCTAGAAGCATCCCAGACATCAAGTGATGATAGATGAGATGTGATTCCGGGAAAAAGTGTTAGATCTCGGAGTACATCTCTACAAAAAGTATATTTGATCTTCCAAAAGAATGCCTGCAAAGAGCTGAAATTATAAGGAAACAATGTCAGGCATTCAGCTGTAAAACGTAGATTACTGCAGCTTGTAAAACATCAGGCGATTTACTGATGTGATTATGCAACGGACAGTATCCCAAGAAACCACATCAAACACTCTTCTAGTAAAGAACAATAAGAGTCATGAACACTATATGCTTATACAGGACAGCTTGTAAAACATTAAATGTAACATTATCCTAAATCTCTGGTCCATTGGACACCTGTATAAAACAAAATAACTACAGCCACCAATATTTTGAACAGAAAATGGTGAGTTCAATGGGTGCAGCTCGAATAACACATGAATACAAGATAGAACTTACAAAGAACTGCCAATACAAATTCACCTTTTATTAAGAAACTTTATGCAGTTAAGCCATTTGCAGATCCCATGAACATGGTCTGATCAAATTATTAAGCAACTTTATGCAGGGAAGCAACTTGCAAAGAACACTTCTTTCACTGGTCTAGTGTGATATTCCTAAGTTAAAGTACAAGGTCCTAGAACTAGTCTTCGTGCATTCTAAGAAAATGTAGCAGGAACTACAGTTGGTTATCGCAGGTTCTCAGACTACAGAAGATATACGAAGCATGAAAACTCTCATTACAAATCTCATAGTACAATATAGGAGCTGAAACAACAGCAAGGTTTGAAGATTACCTGTGTCAGCTGCATAATAGGATCAAGGCAGAGATCAGACCACCAGTTGAATATGAAATAGATATAGTTACTTATACAAAAGAAATGATCTTCTGATCATTTGCTCGCAACAATAAATTGTTGTATAACCTCATAGTGTACCAAGTGGGATAGAAACCATTTCGATACATTGCATCCATCCACCTCTCAGCTTCATTTCTGTCACCATTCTTGCAGAAACCATGCACAATTATATCAAAAGTCCATCGATTTGGCTGATACCCCTGCCTGCGTATCCTTTCATACAAATTAATGGCAGAGTCCATCCTTCCTGCCATAGACAACCCTCGTAACAGCATGTTATAAGTGTAAATATCAACAGGAAAATACTTTTCCATCTCCTCTCCCAAATGCTCTAAGTCACTCATGTTTCTAATACCACTTGCAAATGCGGAAACTAGATCACCAATCAAGAGCCTTCCTGCCTCCCGACCTTGGATCTCTTCACCCTTCACTTCTAGAGGCTTTGATTTATCTCTTGAACGTAAAAAAGCCTTCAGAAGGTCGTTGCCCATCAATGTGTGCAAGAGAAGCACATTACACAAGAAAGCTGAAACAGGGCGACCTGTTTCTCTGAAATCATCAATAACCTTTACAGCAGTGCCATAATCTCTGACAGAGCACAGCAAGAGAACAAGATGCTCATAGCAGTTGATGCTTGGGATTACACCATTATCCCTTGCTTCCCTCCAGAACACCATTGCCTGCTCAGGCTTCTTAGCTTCACATAGACCAAATATAAATACATTATATAACCTCGTGCAAGGTGTTTTCTTCGCACGAACGAGGTTAAAAAAATTAAGTGCATCCCCAATACGTTTGCTCCTTAGATAACTCATGAGAAGAAGGATGTTGCTTACAATTGATGGTTCAATCCCTGAAACCTCCATTTGGTCATACACCGCCTTGGCCATGTCTGCCCTCTTAGCATGACCAGCACCAGAAATAAAGTAGTTGTAGCACACACGGGGTTGGAGCTCACTCCGCTTCAACTGGCTGTCTAACAGATCAAGAACCTCGGTATACCTATTCAACTCACACAAAGCACAGACAACTGACTGGTAGAGGTTTCGGGTTGGGATGTGCCCCATATCTTGCATTTGCAGTATGAGCCTTGGCAGCACATCCACCCTCTTAATCAATATTAATGCTCGAATCAAGCTCTTGTACGTTGACTCATAGCGATATAAGCCCACATGGCTCTTGCTGCTTGCTATCTGAGGCAATTCGCATGCCGCCTCCACGTTCCCACTCTTGCATAGTGCCGCGAGGTACTTGGCCAAGACAGAGTCGATTGTCCAGACTTCCTGCTTGAGTGCCCTGTCTAGCAGCTCCCGCACCCTATCCAGCTTCCCCTCCTGACACAGCACATTTGCAAGCATGGAAAATGTCTGACGCCCCGGAAAGTACCCTCCTGCCATAGCTTCCTCCAATAACAGGCATGCTTCCTCTGTCTCCCCACCATTGCACAGTGCCCTGATCAGATTATTGTAGACATCCTTGTTTGGGTCGATCCCAAGTTCCATCCTCGACCTATACAAATGCATGGCTACTTCGACAAGACCAGCCTTGCAAAAGAAGCAAAGTGCAGCATTCATGGTGGATATGCCAGGAGCAATGCCCTCCTCCATTATTTGAACAAGCAAGTCATACACTTCGCCAAGTCTGTTCCTGACAAGCAAGCGATAAACAAGCTGGTCACACCGCTTCCCATCAAGGATGTAGCCTTCAGTTTCCTTCTTATCAGAGAGGAACTTCATCGTAGCATCAAGCTTTCCAGCCTCAATGAGTCCATGGATCCACGCACCATACACATCACCGGACGGAAACTTATCGACGAGCTGGGCTGCCTCAGCAAAACGTCCACGGCGGCAGAACTCAGTGACGATGGAGCCAGCTGCGGGGCCACGGGATGCATCAGCAAACGGCATGGTGTCGAGGAGAGCGACGGCATTGTCGAGGCGGGCGCGACGACAGTGGCTCTTGATGAGTATGCATGTAGCAAAGGGGCTGGGAGCAAGGTTGCGGGCGAAGGACTCGGCAAGGTCGTGGAGCGACGCATCGACCAGGGAGTTGAGGAGGATGCGTGATGAGACGGCGTTGAGGTCGAGGCCGCGGAAGCGCATGCGCCCGAGGACGTTGAGCCCGCGCTGCGGGTCACCCGCGACGGCGTAGCCGACGACGAGCGTGTCGTGGAAGCGCAGGTGGCCTCCTGTCGCGGGGGTGTCGGAGAAGAGGCGGAGCCAGTCGAGGAGGACGGCGTTGCGGCGCGCGCAGGCGAGGAGGCGGAAGACGGCGTGGTAGACGACCCGCGTGTGGGTGTAGCGCGGGCGGCGGCCCGACCAGTCGAAGAACCTGAGGCGGAGCAGCAGCAGGGCGTCGGCGTCGTGGAGCCCCCGTGGGCGGTGGCGGAGCACGGCGAGGACGAGCTTCTCCGAGAGCGGGAGCGCCTCGAGCGCGGCCGTGTCATCGGACGCGAGCGCCTCGTAGATCGCGTCGAGCGCCCTGGGCGGCGCCGGCGCGGACGCGGGGCTGCGGGACTCGAGGAACCAGTCGTGGAACGAGGCGGCGATAGCGGACTTGGCCGCGTCTACGAGGTGAGCGTCCTCGGGGCGCTGCGGAAGCAGCGGAGAGAGTGGCGGGAGCGGCGGCGCGCGCGGGGGAGACGAGGAGGCGGACGCCGAGAAGGTGTTCGAGAGAATGGCGAGAAGGGGCCGCGAGAGGTGGAGCTGGAGCCGGCGGCGGGAGCGGCAGGAGAGCGGGGCGAGGAGGATGTGGGGCATGGCGAGGCGGGCGGAGGTCAGCGCTGCGGACGTGGCCGCCGGCAGCAGTGGCGGCCGGCGGCGGC